GTTTCCAATTTTTGGAATATGCAATTCTTTGGATTTCATCTATATGTGGACTAGATGTCATAGACTGATTAAATGCTTGTTCTCTATTTTCAATTGTATCATCCATAGATTCATCAACTTCTTCTTGAAGCATTAAGGTTTCATGTTCACGAACCTTTTCTTTGGCTTTATTTGTAATATCAAGTGTAGATAATTTTGATATTAATTGTTCCGTTAATGTTTTATTATCATCTCCATATAAAGATGTATTCTTTTCCAGTTTGTTACTAAGAGAAGATAGCCAGCTTGAATACTGGAAAGAAAAATTCATAGCTGGATTACCTTATTTATTCGCTGAGAAGGTAAAAGAACGTCTTAAAAATAAAAATGGTGGTATAATAAATTATTCTAAATATACGTTAGGAGAATTATCTGCTGAAATATGTGAGATGTATTAGTATTCATATTCATATTGAGATGAAAAAGTTGAAATGCGTAAGGGAGTGGCTCTTCAGGTGGAAGAGGTGGTAATGTATATATATATATATATATATCTAGGTAAACCATACAGCAGCTGCCCAGCTATAATGAATAGTATATGGGTAGAATGAGAGCAGTTAGATCTACATCATGCGATTCAAAATGCACATCACTATTTGAATTTTAATGTTTTTCATATAAATCTGATTAATATGAAATTTTGGCGTATATACCTAACACTATTGCGCACCATATAAAAATATAAAAAAATTATTTTCAATAATTTAAAATGATCAAGCTACCCCCGTAATTTTTTAGGGATATTTTAGTTATTTTATATTTTGAGAAATATTTTTTTATATTTTTTATTTGTGCGCCCTATTTTTTAGTACACATGTCTAAAATTTCATTATGATTTGATTTATAGAAAATAAATAAAATTAAAATAGTTATATACATTCTGAATCGGATGATGCAGATCTGACAGCTCTCATTTCACCTATATTACTAGTCATTATAGCTGGCAACCTATATTACTATTTTTA